ACTACTTAGACTTTAATAGTTTAAAGGGTAATTCCACTTTAGGATTCCATAATTAATTGTTCGAAACCCAACTGCTAATGAGGAGTACTACTGCAATTGTACTTTACAATCTTTAACAATGTTTAGCAAGTATTTTCTAACTTATGCTCAATTTTCTTTCAGATCAGTACATTAGAGGGATGCACAGTATTTCCTATTTATGTAATTCAGCTTAGAAGCTTTCTAGGTGACATAATAGATATTGGAACAGATTTAGAGCCATCTGGAGAGGGGATTTTCAGGAACCGGAATTTATTTAATGAGGGCTAAAAACATCTGGAAAGGACAAACTTGGGTCCACTCATAAAGGACTTCCTATGACCTCCAGCAAGCCGAAACTAAACGTCCCGAAGCTAAAGCTGCTGCTAAGTGCTGTGCATGTTCTAGAACACGGTACAGCAAGAGGCATTTTTGCATATCCTAGTTTGGGAGAGCACTGGCTAGGTACCACCCCACAAGCTTTGCAAAGCTTGCTTGTAAAGTCATTTTACAATTAACCCAACAACTAAAAATGCTTATCTAGGTCCTGCAGTGTTTGCTGTGGCAAGAGCAAAAGTTATTTTTTCTCCAGATTACAGAATATAGGGACCATACACCATGAAATGCTGGATAAATTTATAGATTATGTCCTCCACAAAATGTTAGTAATGAGTAACAAGGGGAATCCATAAATAGTGCTTTGGTTCTCACTAAATTCCATTACATCAAGTTAAATGCAATGTCTGTTAAAAACCAACCAAACAAAAATACTCATTTGCAGATCTCCTTGTATCCACCCAGTGAGTCATTAATGAAGACAACTGAGGAAATGTAAGGTTTTACTTTAAATCAGTTTCAAAATACGGTATTATCCATCCTTCAGTGCAATTGTCTCGAAAGTTCATATTGAAAGGGTCAGCTTTTTTTTCACCGTCTAGAAAATGATGTTAACTAAAAATCTGAACCACCCAGGTTCTGATTTGGCCCAGATAAAGCATTTAAGGTGGCAATCTGAAACCCAGGTGGATAGCTCTACTAGATTCCTAGGAGAATTCTGAGCCCCAGATTTTCAAAGCTACAGCTTTAAGCCCCAGCAGGACTTCCGCGAGCGTTTCTTCTTTCTAATGCTCACTATTGTCCTGCGTAAACTTGTTCCTACTTTGCTCATTACTACATAGTACTGCCTGCAGTACCTTTGTGGTTTTCTATACACTCTGCAGAACTGGAAGGTACGTACACGTATGTGGAGTAATGTACTTCTACATGGTTTCTTTCAGTCCTTGTAAAACTCCCATTGTCAATTGCCCCAAAATAGATTTAAGCAGTTGTGACTTCTCCCTTCTCTTTTAAATGTCTATGTTATTTGGAATTTCTGAATAATCTTATGACTACACTATTTATGAAAGTTGTGTTATTCATTATAATTCCACTAGAGCAGCTGCAATCCCATCTTCCTGCAGATTCTGCTGTATCGTGACACACAGACCATCAACTAGACCAACACCACTGAGTGCACTGCATCTTTACTGCTTTGAGAAGTTCATTTAATTATAAAAAATTAAAATAATTAGCCTGTTTAAAAGTGCATGGTATGACAATTTTGCTCAGAAAATGTTTTGCGAAAAGTCCCTGTTTCTGTATAATGGCACAATCTCAATCAGTAAGCACAAATTTTTGCCTCAAACCTTCAGAAAACCTGATCCGCTGAACTGAACAGCGGTGTAAGGATGCAGCTCTTGAAGGTTTTAATCTCTGACATCAAGTCTAATAAATCTTACTTAGAATACTCAAGTATTGCAGACCACATTGTTCAGATCGGCACACCTTACGTAAGTAACTTTAAGACTGACCTGTTACAAGGTTTTTTGAGGACTAATGGGGTAAAATGCTGTCGATAAGTAGCGTCCTTTTTATTTAACAGCATGTGGTCTCGCCCACAACTGAATACAAGCACTTGCAATCTGTACCTCACATCGAAACAGGCGAACTGTCCTTCTCAGGCTTGCACTGACACCTACTGGGGAGTATTTTTAAATCTCAAAATCCAAAGCCTTGAGACATCAGCTTTTCAGGAGTGAACTGCCTATGTTTCAATTAATTGGCTGATCATGCCATGTATTTGGTCTTTAGTTTGACTACTGAAAAAAACTCCATAGTTTTTAAGGAAAGATTTAACAAGCCATAAATTATCAGAGATGTAATGTTCCAGATGTAATTACGGAATTTTTCTATAAAAAGTATTACCTACTGTTAGCACAGAAAGAAGCAAAGTAAGAGGAAATAAATCAGCTTTCTCCCTCCTTCCTAAGATTCAAAAAACGTGATAGGCCTTAGCTACAAAACATCCCAAGGAGAACAGTGCACAGGCTCATTCTTGAAACAAAGCAGTTAAAAACAAAGCAAACCCTTAAGTATTTCTTCAGCTCCTCAGTTTGTTCTTACTCCTAAAGAGAGCAGCAGCAGATTCTACAGAGCAGTTCCAAGGACGATACCAGTTTCTTGCTATGTATTCACTAGAACAGAAAGACTAAGAACGGTAGACACTATTGAACAACAAGAACTTGAATCTTACAAAGAAAGTCCCACTGTGAAGAACTATTGTGTCCAGAGAGACCACAGTCCTTTTAGCCTTGCTAAAACACTGCTGAAGATAGGAATCTTTTTTATCCATCAGATCTGTTCTGTTTTGAGATAACACTAAACACATCAGGTTTGTTTGGGGCTTTTTAAGCATTCGGACAAAACCAAAAAAAATAGGTTTTCCTGTAAATTCTGGCAAGCTGCTTCAAAGACAGTTAAGATTTCCAAGTACCTCAAAACCTACAGTGTATCACACAAAAAAAAGGTGAAAGATACCGAATAAAGTAATTCAGCAACAGATAGTTTTCAGGTAGTCCCCACAATGAATAAGAGTGGGCCAACAGGCAGATACGGACTATGAAGTAAAGTGTTTTCAAATGATCTTCAGCACAATAATACCCATATCATTCTAACAGAGGAACACATTTTCGGTGTTAGCATTTAGAAGCTTTCCAAAGAATCAGGAGCACACATTCCAGAAGATTTTGGAAATACAGCTTTATTCTCCAGTGAATATCCAACCTGCAACACTTCTATCGTTGCTTAAGAGCCCTCCAATTGATGAAATACTAAAATCTACATCTCTAATGCACAGTTAATTAGATATCTAAATCTTAATTAAAAATATCAGTGCAAAAATAAAAACGAATTCAGTATGCAGTTAGATGCATTTTGTTATAAAGATATTTGGGCTTCAAGCACATATACACCAAACAATCTGGTAAGAGACAAGCCATTTTCAGTCTGTGCTCACAACAAACCAAACTATTCCACACCCGGTTCTAAAGACAGGCAAGAGCTAACTTTTTCTTTTTAAATGAAAGTCTGAGCTTAGTTACAACATTTGTCATGGGTACTTAAGCTGAAAAATATTACAGAGGTCACCTTTTATTCAAATAGGGGTTGTTCGGAAAGAGGCTTTCCTATTTTCCACGTGTGGGATACTTCTGAAACATCTATGTTTTTTCCATCCACAACAGAATTAACAACACTCCAGCGTGCCCCACTGTCGGGAAGTCCTCTTTCCAGTCCAGATACACGATGATGATTGATGAAGCTGTTGGGCCTACAGTAGTGGGCAGAGCAGCTTGGCAGGAATTCAGTGTTATTGAAAGAAATCTCAAATACTTATTCCATCTCCTCTACTAACTTTAATCACACTATCAACACACTGCCAGGAACAGAGCCTTGACACCAAGCCATAAACTTACACAAGCAACCATTGTTGGCATATTACCGTTGCGATACAGGTAAAGGGTAAGTTCTGTTTATTTTTACCTGTTTCCATTCTATATTGGACACCAGCTAAATTATGGAAAGATATTTCCTGTACTAACGGTTAGCTTGCAGCAAATTTCATTACGGTACTATGTCTCATTTTCCTTGGTTAATGAACGGATTAAGTTAACTTCTTCAGTTACACTGCTGTTAACTGCCAGTTTTATTTAAAAGAAAGCAATACAGGAGTTTCACATACCCCGTAAGAGTAACAGTCAGTGAGAAAGCAGATCAGTACTACAGGCGTTTTACCACTAATCTGCTCATTTGTTATGCTGATAAAGAAACAAAAATCTTTCCTCAATTGCTTTATAAGGTTCTGACAAGCTTAGCCTAAGTAAACCAAGAGTACGTCAAATATTTAAGGTAAATACTGTACTAGCTACAAAGCTAATACAAAGACCAATAGGCTTCTCATGACTACTTTTGAGCTTGTTTTGGCTTTGCTTAGAACAGCAAAGCTTAACAAGAGAGGCCCGAGACATTTACAGCGAGAGAAAACTTGTTATCCAAGCTCACTCAGCCATCTGTACGTTAGCAAAACCCATTTAAATCTCAACTCTACTTCATAATACTGAACACACAACCCGAAAGTTGGAATTACAACCGGATTTAAAACTCTGTTGAGATCTTTCATTGCTAAGGCTTCAAAGTACAATATTCCGAAAAACAAGTTGGTTTTCCTGAAATCTATGAACAGGTTTTACGGTTTTCCCAGGTAACTATGGCTGGAACCTATTACACCTACTCCTTGGGAAAGGGCTGTGGCTGCACACTCAGGTAGTTAATGTTACATTAGTCTCGGTTTTCCCAAATGATACCATACTCTCTGGAGATGGGACAGAATGCCAGTTTGCAACTCCCTGAGCTGATCTGGTCACACAATGTACTTTCCAGTGACACCTTCCAACAAAGGCAGAACTACTGGCATTCCACTGTCCCAAATAAAACAGGCATAGATAGGCACTTAAGTCGAAATTATGCAAACCTCTTCTTCCCATACCAAACCTGTAGAGGAAATTCTCCTTTTTTCTTATGTGTTTCAGCTTTCCAAAAGAATCTCCATTTAAGTCAGAAGCAACTGAGTATTGGCACAAACCCAGCATTACTAAAAAAGAAAGTTCTTAAAAAGAAACAGATTTAGCCAGTTCCTTCTCCATCTCAGAATACTGCTCTTTGAGGCGCTCCATAGCTTTTCTGTGCTCTTCGTCCACCTCTGCTTGTTTGGTTTGTTGTTCTTTCATGAATTCCTCCCAGTGGGCTATGCGCTTCTCCTCCCGAGCCATCAGCTTGTCTGCCTGAAGCTGAGAGGAAGGAAATGTAAGTTTTAACAATCACTTCCACATTAAAACAGAGGGTTTAATGAGAGCTACAAAACATCCAAGTATCAGAGAAACTGGACTTTTACTTCGGTAAAGGGAAGTGAAACTAACAAGAAAACATGAAAAGTTGAAACCAAAACCAAATTATTTATTTTTATTAAGTATAGTCAATGCAAAACAAATAGTAAAATGCCTACCATACTATTAACATGACTGCATTAGCAAGAATAGTTTTTCTGTGCTACAGCCTAGTGAAAAAGAAACAAATAAATGGAAAGGCACTTTAAAGTTACTAGCTCACCTAGTTCACTTCTGCTCATTTCTAAAGATTCTATTTGTTGCATTATTTGCTCCTCTGATAACTGACAATGTTAGAAGTTAACTGCAAGCAGGCGATACAGATCTTATTTATCTCACAAAGATTTTCTTATAAATGAACTTTTGATTTTTGGGAACATACAGTAACCAGTATTTTTACCCTTAGTTATGGGGGGAAAAACCCCTCCAATCAGCAAATGGACACCGCTCACCCCCCCCCCCCCCCCCCCCCCCGCTTCTTCTTTTCTTGTGTTCACACAGAAAGAAGCTGCCTACTGACACGAACAGACTCAGGGAACCCACTGTTCTGAAAGTAATCAAAAGAGAAATAATTTAAATAAAATGCAGCTAATTTTTGATTAAGTGGTCTCAAAGAACCAACAATCTGCATCTAGGACTGCAAGTATGGGCAGGCCTATGTTAAACATGTTAGAAACTAAAAATGCACCAGAAGCACTACCATGTCTGAATTATGAGGAAAACACCAGGCCTACTATATTTCATATTTGTGAGTGCTGGACAAAATTTTAGGGGGTTATTTACATCTGTTACTTAGGTACACAAGAATCACCAGAGATTAAAGGATTCACTTCAACACCAAGACCACATCTGTGTAAACACAATGCTTCTATGTTTCACAACGAATTATGATGGTTAATAATAGTCCCATAAATTCTATGTCAGCCAATCCTGCAACATATTGCTCCTCTCTCCTTGGCATTTGCAGCTTTCCCCTTGAATGTCTCATTTGTGGAAACAAAAGTATTTTCTACATTCTTGAATACATTTTTAAAACTAGAAACAAATCACATTTCTATGTTACGACAACGCGTAGGTTCAGCACAGTCATCAGATGCTAGTCTTGAGGAAAAGTCTCCGATACAAAAAGGAAAGAGGGAAATAAACCATAACAACATAGATATTCCATGTTTTGAAACTGGCTGTTCGTGTTCCTGCTTTAGCCAGCTAGCTCTCACCGTGATTAACGTCTTCCTTTACAAATAAGTTATTTTTCCCCTCATGCTTTCATACTGCTTGGCTTCTGCTAAGTCAGCTCCCTCCCACTCTCTGATCTTGGAAAAAAAAAAATTAAAAAAAATCCAGCTATCTAGAAAGAGAGATCATACACACATCCAATATGTGTGTCAAAGTGAGATGTACTTCTGTGCTTGCATACAGTATTAACAGCCTGGCCTCCTATTACAGATGCTGAAGTCACAATAAATCTAGTCAGTTCTTCTTACATTTGCTCCATCTTCTGGCAAGAGAGAGGATTAATCCTCTTTTTTTTTCCCTCCTCCTTTTTACTATACCAGCATGAACTATTTTCTATGTACAGTACTTCTCTTCAGGAATAAATACTATCACAGAGCTTTGACAGACATCTTGCATTTTTGTCAACTAAAGGCAACGGGAACCCATTTACGTATTGTTCAGCACTCTCTATGCGCCGTTCTTACAGACCACACATCGTGGGTTAAATACACTATTTTTGCCATGCAGCATTTTATGTACATTGTAATAACGCTACACCAAGATCCATTTTGTTTGCAACAGATGCAATACCAGCTACTAACAAAGTATGCCAGTGTACACTAACAGTTTCGCTAGCACACTACTTCATGTTCAACAGGTTTTGAAACTGTCAGTGCATCACACACTTTTTGACAGGATTGCACAGTGCCCACCCAACCCACACTTCATCTAGACTAACCCATGCTCCTCACAACATGAATAGTTTGCAAGGAACATGAAACTCATGCTGCTGCTTTCTGTTTTTATTTTGCACCATTTCTACCCAAGGCTATAAAACGATTTACCTGGTAAAACAACCTAAAACGTTTCTACCATGAGATAGTGAAGTTTAGTTTACAAAAAATCAGTGGTCTAACTCCTTTCTTCTTTCTTAATTATAATTAGCTGTAAATTGTAAAGTTTTAAGCATTAGACACCCCAATGTTTCTTGCCATGCTGTAGCTTTCCATTTGAACCAAAAGATCATTTAACTGTCAGCATTAGCACACTACGCTTTAGGCTTTTACTTACTATCTGTGTTACTGACTGGCACTTACTATCATTTACTGCACAGAAAAAAAAAAAAAATTTTTACTCCACCTGAAAAGATCTACAAGGTAGCAGAAACGGTATTTGTCCGTGGCTGTTAATTTGGCAAAATCTGGATAGATTTTGTTTGTTTAATCAGAGAAGCATTTCCTGACCCTCAAACACTCTTGGAACTCCAGCCCTATCCTCCTATAGTTCCCAACTCCAGACCACACTGATATAGCTTTTTCCTGTCTGATTGATGGTTATCTATTCTTTCAGCAATTACTCTTCTCCAAACAGTATTTCAGCTGTCCCGCTAGAAGCTCCTTCAGTCACCCAACAGAACATAAGCCATAGCAAGCTGTTAAACTTCACTTTTCACAGGTAACCTGAATACTTGGCCTCAATTTCTGTCTTTCAGTATAACTTCATAAATACAAAGGTTTGGGAAACTCAAAATTAATCTTAGAATCTGTTCTACATTTCTAACAATGCCTACTACTTTTACGAGTATTTTTATAAGATATTTAGACATCACTAAATTTAGAAGATTATCAGCTTTCTGTTCATATCAAAAGTTGAAAATAATTTTGAGTTAAAGTTTCATAATTTGGTTTAGATACAAACCAAAACTTGTCTAAATTACAAACATAGTTGCTGCATTATTGAGTCCTGTTCCGGGAATTCCCTTTGGTGTGTTAGCAAGTTTACATATTTTGGCAGTAATGTCTGTCATACTCCTTTTATATCAACACCTAAATTCAGACATTAGCTATCTGGAAAAAATCTAATCCGATTACGAAACCAGTTTTTCACTCAATAGCACATACTGCTTGAACTTGAAAGTAAAGCCTTCTGCAGTACAGTCTCACATGAGTGGGATGTATGTATTTCTATCCTTGTTTTAGTGTCATTGGTTATGCAAAAAATTAACATTTGTAAAATCATGACATTTTTAGTAAACTTTGTTTTTAGTATTACTTGGGCTGTTTTTGCTGAAATCAAAAAACCCAAACCAAAAACCCCACCATTTGAAGCAGACACAGGCTTTGAGAAATGTTACCATACTAGCTCAAGCAACAAGCAATTCAGAGGCAAGACCATAATGGGAAGTGTTAGGTAGCTTCCAGTATACGCCTGTACCCTTCTAAAGGAAAATATTTAAAATAAAAATAATAATTAAAAAAAGAATATAGTACACAAAAACAGGTTTACAAAATTACTTGAAGTCTTTCCTAGTTTCTCCCAGAGCTTACAGTAATCCACAGCTTGAACTGCTGATGAGGTATTACTGATCTGGGTGAGAAGACTACTCAACAAGACAGGGGTTTCCATGAATGCTACTTTCAGTGACGCACCTGTAATCACAAATTATTTTACACTCTAAGTGAGAATGTGGTAGGGACAACATCATTTCCCTTTTTTTACTTGGCCGACACCAGTAGCTGAAAGGAACTGTGATAAAAAGATAATTAGTAAAGCAAATAACCTTAAAATTAATTCTACTCAGCCAAAATCGAATTAATTTGACTGAGGGCTGCTAACACTGATCACTTGACGCTACCAAAATCCCATTATTTTTTCAGAACACATGATTTCAGAAAGAAAAGTAAGGAAAAGGCATTTCTCCTCAAGTGGCTGTACTACAATGACAACTTTTATCTAGAATTTTAAAAGTTACCTACCTGTTACTACTCACATTTAGGAAGTTTCAAGCTAAAAAGTCTTACTATACAAGCTTAAAGAAAGGCTACAAATCCTGAATAGCTATTAGTATTCCTCCACTCCGTATAACAAAAAAAAAGTGGAAACATATAGCTAATATTTTTCAGAAGAATAGTTCCCATTCTTACTGACTGTTCATTTTTTAAGTTATTTTTTAATTAAAAAGTTTTACTTCAAACTAACAGTAGCATAACTGGAAGAATTTCCTACTTAACCTCTCCACCAGTATCTACCCTAGTGTTAGACACAAGCAGACTCTGTCAGGGCTCCGCAGTGGGCTGTTTGCACAGTACGAGCATTCAACTGCAACTGGGCTGCCCATCTTCATCAATTAGAAAAAGGAAAGAAAAACACAACTATCAGCTTACATAAATCAATGCACAGCCTGTTTTGCGTGATGGCCACAGATATGTCTTCAGTTTTTCTGAACTAAATGATTATAAATAACATTTTGCAAGTAAAAAGATAACACAGGAACACAATCATGAAGGAGTAATGGGAAAGCATGAAATTAATTTCTTGTATAATTTTCCAAATTTTAGATTCAGAGCATATGTATTTCAAATGACCAAAGCATAGCCAACTGAAAAGATTCCAACGATTCGCATGTTCCTATAATATAGCCCTTCATTAAATAACCCATCCACAAGTGAAAAACACACTTCCTTTTCAACAAGCGATATATATAATATGGTCAATGTTCTCGGCTAACTAGGAAAGATTTACATTTCCATTCTGGTAGGTTAGTAGGTGTTTTTTGTTCCTCAGAAAATAATTTTTTTATATTTAAGCTTCCCCTGTATGTGACAAATATTATAGTCTGAGCTAGGAGGGAAAATAAAGCAAAGGAAATTAAAAAAAAAAGTTTCCACACATCAGGAGATTGTACGAAGAGCTAGTGATCCATTAACTTTGCAGTCAAGAAGATATATGCCACTGCAGCATGTGCTTTATAAATGGAGAAATAGCCCCACATTATGTTTTACTGCAAGTACATAAAGTATAGAAAAATATGCTTTTAGGTCTTGCTATACCGAAGGCAGATGAACTTGCTGTAGAAGCACAAGATTCTTACTTAGATCACATTATAAAAATCCACCCACCCTTTACCTTCCTCTCTTCATGCTCCCTCTCTTGGAGTCTATGGATCATATCGTTGGCAGCTTGCACTGAAATAATAAATTGCAGTAGATCAGTCTGCTGTTCTAAGTCACAGAAACTTGCCTGAAAGGGATTTAAAAGACATGAGGCTGTTGCAAGTCAAAGATTATATTCCATTGCAAGAAAAAGATCTGTCAGTACCTGCAGAAAATAATTTACACTGATAACTGTATGTAAGTGTATCACCAGGTTCGACTCCTGAGTGTTCTAGAAGCCAAAAAGAGAAAGGCGGGAGGTCCTCTTGTGCCCACACTCCTTAGTGCTGCTGATGAGCTAGAGTGCACCATTCAGCACCTCAGAGGACATAAAAAACCTCTCAAGTCGGTAAGTAGAAACAGGTGACCGAGCTCTATGTTTTAGTTGGTTTTGTTTTTTTTTTTTTCTTATTTTTCCCCATCAAATATAAAATGTGATTTAGTATAAACAATCTACACTGAGAACATCTTTATGCTGGAGCCAGCCTCTTCTCTCATGAGGCTAAGCCTAGGAAAACTTCTCAACAGAAATATGAATTCCTATGCAGTTTTCTTCCTAACTTATTTAACACTTAATGCAGAATTAAATAAACCAATTTCCCCAAAGCAGTCATTTCTCCCACTAACAGAAACACCTGACTTACTTATCATCTTAAAGCTGGTGACTTCTCCCACCAGGAGGCAGGTTCCTGCCCCCTGAGGAACTGCAGTCACAGAACAGGTTCACTGCCTTTGCTGATGAGGAGCTGGGAGTGCTATGAATTGGAGCATCTGGTGGCTGAGCCACTCAGGATCATTAGAAGACAGTGGCGAGTGAGAGCTGTAGCAGACTCCCTAAGGCAGGGGATGGAGGGTCCCCACCTGTTGAAACGTTTTGCCATCTAGGAAGGTTTGCTGCTTGCCAGGAGCTCAAATTCGTGATGTTGTAGAGAGTCTATCGAGGCTTGGACTATTACCCCTGCTGTTCTTCCACATGGATCCCAGTGGTACTGCAGGGGTGACCTGAGAAAAATCAGGAATGACTACGGGGATCTGGGGACAGTGGTCAAAGGCATGATGGTCCAAGCAATGTTTTCCTCAACCTTCCCAGTGAGGGGAACTCAATGGATTTTTGGGGTTAACAGCTGATTGCACAGCCGGTGTTGGCAGCAGGGTTTCAGTTTCTACATCCATCAGACCCATTCTGAGCATCAACAGCTGCACGGAAGAAATGGGATCCACTTGACTAAAAAAGGTAAAAGTACCTTTGCCAACAGGCTGGCCAACCTGGTAGGGACAGCTTTAAACTAGAAATGATAGGTGAGGGAGTGATTCCTCAAAAAAAAAAAAAAAAAGAAAAGAAAGTAAGGAAGTTGGGGACAGGGTAGGCAAACCAAGGGTCTGGGATGATGGTAACAGAAGGGATGTAGTAACCTTTCCAAGAATCACCTCCTCCAAGCTCAAGAAAGGTCCATCCCAACAAGTAGGAAACAAAGCAAAGGTGGCAGGAGGCCTGCATAGATGAGGCAAGGAGCTCCTAACTGAATTCAGACCTAAAAAGGAAGTGTACAGGAGGTGGAAGCAGGGGCAGGTGACCCAGGAGGACTATAAAGTTGCTGTCTGATTGTGCAGAGACAGAGTTAGGAAAGTCAAAGCTGATCTGGCAAGAGGTGCAAAGGACAACAAGAAAGGATTCTGCAAGTCTGTAAACAGCAGAAGGAAATTCAGGAAAAAAGCAGGTCCTCTGCTGAACAGGGCAGTGGAGTTGGTGACAAAGAACATGGAAAAGGCCAAGGTACTTAACACCTTCTTTGCTTTAATCTTTACCATAAAGACCAGATCCCTGAGACCACAGGGAAAGCCTGGAGCAAAGAAGACTTACCCTCAGTGGAGGAGGACCAAGTTAGGGAGCACTTAAACAAACTGGAAATATGGTAAGTCCACAGGCCTGACAGGTTGTATCCACAAATGCTGAGGGAGTTGGCTGATGTCACTGCAAGGCTACGCTCTCTTTGAAAGGTCATTGCGACTGGAAGACTTTCCTGAAGACTGGACTCGTACCTTCAATGGCAAGAAGGAAGATCTGGAGAACTACCGACCAGTCAGCCCCACCTCAATCTCAGGAAAGGTGTCAGAAAAAAGTCCTCCTGGAAGCATTTCCAAACACATGAAGAACAAGAAGGTGATTGGGAGTAGTCAGTGTGGATTTAGGAATGGGAAATCATCCCTAACTGACCTGACAGCCTTCTATAATGCAGCAACTAGCTTGGTGGAGGGGGGGGAAAGCAGGCGATGCTGTTTACCTCAGCTTCAGTATGGCTTTTGATGCTGCCTCCCATAACATCCTCACAGACAAGCTAACAAAGCACAGGTTAGATACGTGGACTGTGAGGTGGATTGAAAACTGGCTCAACAGCCAAGTCTTGAGTCTGTAATCAGCAGCACAAAGTCAAGTTGGAGGCAAGTCACTAGTTGTTTACCCCAGGGATCAGCACTGCAGCCAGTACTGTTTGACGACATCATCCGTGACCCAGATGCTGGAGCAGAGCGCACCCTCAGCAACTCTGCAGATGATACAAAACCAGGAGGAGTGGCTGAAAGACAATATGGTTGTGCTGCCATTCAGAGGGACCCTGAGCGATTGGAGAACTGGGCTAAGAGGAATCTTAGGAAGTTCAACACAGGGAAGTGACAAGCAATACCCACTGAGGACCAACAACACAGGCCACACCTGTGATAGTTTGTCCATTTCTAGGTTCCCCAGTAAATGAAAGAGATGGACTCACTGGAGCAAGTCCAGCACGTGGCCACAAAGATGATTAAAGGACTGGAGCATCTTTCGTATTGAGGAGAGGCTGAGAGAGCTGGGACTGTTCAGCCTGTAGAAAAGGCAGCCCAGGGAATGAAGATGAGGGAGCCAGACTCTTCTCCATAGTGCTCACTGCCAGGACATGAGGCAGTGGGCACAACTTGAAACACATGAGATTCCATCTGAACATAAGAAAACACTTCTTCCTGTGAGAGTGGTCAAATACGAGGACAGGTTGCCCAGAGAGGTTTTAGACTCTCTATCTGTAGAGATATTCAAAACCCAACTGGACACAGGCCTGGCCAACTGGCTCCAGCTGCCCCTGCTTGAGCAGGGAGGTTGGACAAAACCTCCAGAGGTCCTTTCCCACCTCGACCATTCTGTGATTCTATTACTAACAATCATTTGCACAGCTGACCATTAGAAAGTCGCTCCATTTAGAGGGTATTAGGACACATGCCTTATTTGCTAAGTTTCAAATATTCTCCTGCAATTGCTTTATGTGTATAACATCAACTACCATTTGCTATTCTGCATATGCCAGATGCCATATAAATAAGCTGTACATCTTGCTATACGTAAAATATAATAAAATCCACACTGGCACAATTTGGCATAAACTGCGTAAATTTGGCAGCTAAAGCTGTATAGCCACACTCCCTTGAAATACCTTTTTGGGAAGCTAACCTGATGAATGAGCAAGAAAAAAGATACTGAAAAATTAGTACAACAAATTTTAAACTTTCTTTTAAAATCTGAGCAATAAAAAAATATATTAGATGGCTGTAATGATAAAAGTCAGATTAACATACAACAGTTATTACTACTACCCTATTTGCGACTAATAATAGCATATTTCATAGCTATACAGCAGCAAATTTTATTTTAAATCAGGAGGAGCAGTATTACACTCTCACATGGGAAAATGAAGAAACTTGAAGATCATGCTGCAGCATGCTTGCAACAAACCAGAAAACTGAAATTTTGTCCATGGGTTTAGCCAACACGGAGCACTATTCTGTTTTAAGTGAGTAGCTGAAATAGCTTCTACTTAAATCTACAAAAAGCTGTTACATAACCTTAGCAAGAGTTGTGTTGGCTGGACTAATAAATATAAAAAAATGTCCCTGTTGTTTCCCTTTTAAAATTTCACTGAAATGAGAACAAACCACATAAATGGCATAAAATTTATTCAAGACAGTTATTTTTCCACAAATCATATTTTTGAATCCAAACTATTTAAATTTTTCCTCAAAATGATGCACAAGGGAAATAGAAAGCAACATGCTTACATCTCTTGAACGCTTCGTTCAAATTGTCATGCATTGCCTGCTCACACTTCGGAAGAATGTGTTCGTTTGTTTCAAAGATTGTGTTCTTTAGATTGTCAAGTACTCGTAGTTCTCGGAGGCCACGTTTTTCCTGCCAGAAGAATTTAAAGAAAATGAGTGGCTAACAAGGAGTTCCACTTTCCAAAATATGATTTCCCAGTTGATAAACTAATAGCTTTATCTCAAAGACTATACTGTTGTCCATTAAAGTGTTGCTCTACTTATTTAGCACAATTGATAAAATTAGTTTCGTGAAAAAAAGAGAGTGCAGTGCTCCATTCTTCACTCTAAAATACAGGAATACTTTGAATGATGCTTCTGGCCCTTGTAAGATAAGTTAGTATTTACTAATGAAAACATTGTGTGGAAAAATGTGTTGTTTTGTACAGATAATTTATAGCATATCAAACCCAACAGAGAACCAGAGCTTGAATGAATAGCATTTTCATAATGCAATTGTTAAAGAGAAGTAACACAGCAGTGATTCTGCTTGCTTGATGTCTGACCTTCCAGATTTAGCATGGTACAAGGTTAAAACAATGCAAGTAAAATTGTTTTTGCTGAAGTAAAGCAATGAAGTCAAGACTAAAACATAACATACCACAGTTAACTGAAGAGGCAGCCCTCCTTCTGGCTCACTGCTGGTCATGATTAATTACAATAACAAGCTCTTTGTTGTTTACATTTTCTTTAAAAGATGAAATTATATTCCTGAAGCCACAGCGCTACTTCCACTCTGAATTTCACCTGCACTTTCCTTTAGACAACGAAAAGGATTCTGAAATCTGCTCCAGGCTGCCACCTGCCTCCTTCCTACTTTTCCCCCTCTTCAGAGCTATGAGCTGCATTGCACACAAGCATTCCTGTACTGAAAGTTGCAAATGACAAAGCAATTCTAGATAATCAAAAAATACTACATCTCATGAAGTGGGCAACTGGATCACCATACCTGTTTTAAAACTTCAGAAACAGAGGCACAGACAAGTAAAGCTACTTAATTACACAGGCTCCAGATTCCTGAATGCAAATCCACGTTCTTTACACACTAGATGCTAATCTTTAAAAGAAAAGGCGTATGTCCTACTGCAGTCAAAAATACGTGATATCTCAAAGTTAGAAACAAGCGTAGTTTTTGGAAGAAACTCTTAAGTTGCAAAAATGTAACTAGTCCTCGGCTTTGCTACTTGCCCCCTAAAAGTACAAAAAGAAATTAAATGTTAAGATCTAAGAATATATGAAACCTGTCTAAGAAATAGAACAAGACTTTGGGTGCAATGGGAGAAATATATGAATTATAAAGATAAGAGTTCTAATTTTGTAATTGAGTTTAAAATTGTCCTTCCTATGAAGAGCCACATAAAACTATTTACTGTATCCTACAATTTAATTAGGGAAGACGAGAAAATAAATCATTCCTTCTAACTCTCAAGCCCATACGATACACATCTGATGAGAGTTTAGTTCACAGACATATTTTGCTGAACCAGTATAGAGACAAATTAGACTTGTTTGAAATACTAGCTACAATCCTGGGTGGGGAGACATTTTAATGTCTTTGGTTTTGTTTTGTTTTTTTTTTTTTTTTTTTTTTTTTAAATCGGCTCTGCATCCTGGTTTGAGATATAATTGTATTTTCAGGACTAATTTTAAGATTTTAAATTCCACATTCTGTAAGAATGAAAATCTACTCAGAAATAGCCTTTTGTTAACACAAGATTCCACTTTTGTAAAATTCTGCTGCCATCTTGTGGAAACCACATTACACTTTCCAAGCAAAGTTGCATATAAACACTTGTACCCCTTCAGTGCTTCAGCCTCACTTCCAGACGATCAGATAACACTCATTCCATTTGTAATGATTTTCTTACTTTGCATAAAGGGTTGGTCTTCTCTTCCAGTAAGATTACTTTCTTTCATGGTACAAAAATGAAAGCAAAATTAAATTACAGCTGTGCTAGCTGAATCCGGCTGAGGAACAAAGTAGTTTCTTAATCAGATATAAACCTATACCAGCTAATAATATTTCCCTTGAACCAACTAGACTTCTTTAAGATGCTAGGACTGCATCATTCTCCTACATCAATACTTCTGCCAGTCTTTTGCAGGAAAAATATTTATGTCCCTTTCAAAACTTTTTAAATAAAAAGACCTAAATTACTGCCTTGTTTACTGAAGATGCAGACATATCCTATCCGTGTGTTAAGTTATTTTGAGCAAGAAATACAGGTTAAGTATTTCTAAAGAAAATTACATACATATTATAACCTCTAAAAAGATGCTAAAACTGTTTGAAGTGCCAAACTCTGACAAATACAGCGCCTAGTAAGATACAAATACTTACTTCAAATTCTTTAACAAAGTAACGTATTTCTCCCTGAATTACTGGTCTGTGATCCAGCAGTCTTGAATAGATCTCCCCAACATCTAGAAGATTAATGAAAAGTCAGATTTTTAGTTTTCCTCTCACACTCCATACCAGGCTACACAATACAAGGTAGCACACCATCCTTCAATGCAAGGACTACTGCTCACCAAATACGTACAAAATCAAAAGAGCACCACCCTATCCATTCAGCAAACCACCAACTGAGATAAAATGCGGTGAACCAGTATTCCAGGTGCCACAGTCACCTTTCCGTGAAGGCGAACGTTCTCCTCTGTCTCTCAGCACCCTGTTTCAATCCTTCTCCTCCTCAGTGCAGCTTCTACATCTGCCTGTTAACGGTGGTAAAAGAGCTGAACTAAACGCTGCAGCTCATCTTCACAGCTTAAGACGTGGGAGTTTTCTGCAGCAGCAGCAGAGGAAAGTTCGCTACAAAGGAAACTGCTAGCATTTACCGCTGCACCCACGTGTCTGTTCCACACCCTGACACGGCTCCAGGAAACAAAGCACCGGCTAAACCACTTCCGAGGTCAAACGCTTCTGCGAACGGGATGAACGAGGACAGCCCGCGGGTGCTGGGGTCAACACCACAAAAGCAGGAGCTTGCCAGGGAACTCCACGCCAGCGGCGAGGGCTCGGTGGCCGGCTCAGCCTCCCAAAAGGACGCCGCGCGGCCACCCCAGTTTCGGACGCCAGGGGATGAAGCCAGCGAGGCCTCCCGGGTGCCCAGCGCCAAACCCCAGAACGTTCCACCGGCCCGCAGAGGGCCGG